TTTTCCGCTTGTGTTAGGAGATGGTATAGTGCGGGGATAAGGGGTTGTTGGAGATGCGAATTGCAACGATGATGAGCATGCCACCCCTCATTCTCATTCGCCAATAAACCGTCCCGGACTTTCTATTTTCAAACATGTTTTTACGAAAGTATTTCTCGTGTTTACAGGAGGTAAAAATTCCCGTTTTCAATTCTATTTTTATTTCCACGTATATCCGACTTATAATGTAATCCTTTCTTGCAAAATAGTTGATAACTTCAAAATAGTAAATAGTCATTAGTGCTGAAACTAATAATTCTACCAAGAAGTCAGTAATAATTACAAGAAATTAAAGTTAGAGTTCCATCCACGTTCCATCCAATTTTGACGGGTCGTCAGTGGCAAGGGATTTTTGCAGGGTTGTAGTACCGTGTACCGCTCCTAAAATTCATGAAAAATCCAAATGTTCATTGAAAACTTCAAAATATCATACCGAAGGAGTGAAAAAGCTAATCAAAAGCCGATAGTCGTGTTGACATAGCATGGCGATCAATTCAGCCAATCATCGAACGCACTTTCCCCTGCCTAGGTACATCATCAACGCCCCGCAGAAAATATCGTTTCGAACCAGTACAATTTTCGCCATTTCAGGGTTTGAAAAAATTTGGGAAAATTCCGAGAAGTTTAGCCCCCTGTGTACTTTCAATGAAAAAAATGGGTTGTGGCACTGACCCAATTTTAAATATCAACAAATGCGTATTCGCTGCTATCAAAATATATCATCGTCTTATTCGCCTGAGCCTACTGAATGCAGTCGAATGTGTTGTTTGATCGTTGAAAGTAGTGAAATGCGGTTGAATCCTTGGGAACAGTGACCTCCGGAAAAACGGTGCGAAAAATTTGCGAAAAAACAGGGCACATCGTGGCAACGGCGTCGTCGGCAGCCCATTGCGGCAAGAGTCGAGCTCAAGGCAAGGCCAACACTACTTCAACATTACCATAACACTGCCTATATTATAGGTTTAAAAGTCCTCCGCAGACAAGCTTGGCCTCGCAAAGTTCATTTAAGCCTTTACTGAACGGAGAAACGTATGAACGACTCCCCAGGGATATTCCCAATACGAGGCCGAGAATGGTCCCCCCAACGGTGCCACATTTCTTAAAAAACTCCTTTCGTTTACATTTTAATATGCACGTAACGGCAACTCCGAGTTCCCCCCTCCTCTGCCCACGCAGACGTCCCACTGAGGTTCCTACCTGGTTCCTCCCTCAAAGTGTTCCTGTTCCCTACTAGCCACTATTTATATCTAGTTCATTCCTCTGATATTTTTGCTTACTATCTCCATGGGACCGGGAAAATCGGAGGAAAGTTTTCTAATGCGTATCTGAAATTGAGGAGCACCCCGCGCTGTTTAGAGTCGAGGTTTTGAATATCAACCCCGGTTCTCGGGCATGGTTTTATTTTTATCATGTCGATCCGATTGGTTCGGAAGCTATCAAGCGGAAGAGCTTTCAAACTTTGATTGTGAATGAGCTGTTGTGCTTCGTTCTCGGGAGAAGTTTTCAAAGTCAAGGTTTTAGAGTAGTCCCCAAGGAACGATCGTGAGTCCACCGAGGTATATATTCGGTAAAACGATACCTTTTGAGATCAGAAGAAAGAAGTTCAAAGTTATGAGGTATTGCTTGTTTTTTTTACCTTTTTCGAAGTTAGAAAGTAGGTTGAAATAATGGCGTGCCTCTTAACGTTCAAATGAAGTAACTTTCTTCTGCTTTAAAAAATATCAACGTCAATCAGTAAGAGGGAAGCACCTCATTTTCGACGTCTTCTTCTGAATCTCAAAAAAATTAAGGTCAACCCCCAGCCTCTTAAAAGCGACCACAACAAGTTTGAATTTAAATATGCTTCCCTTTTTCCAAAATTATACAGAGTTTTGTCCAAGGGAGAGATCTAATATATATTTTTAACTGCAATGTTTGCTGGTTTTTAATTGTATAGCAAATAACGAAGATTATACGCTTGAATAGTATCATTGTGCTTTTAGACATTACATGATCTTGGGGATTATTCACTCTATATAGATATAGTTAATATCAATTACTTGTGTCATTTGTGGCGTCATTGGAGTTGTGTAAGCTTTTGCAAATCAATTTGACCTCCGATCGTTAAAAGCAGTCGCAAGGCGTGAATGATCGATTAGCGATATTTTCCCATTTGAAGCTGTGGTACATAATCGATTAGAAAGGTATTTTTTTGCGGACACCCTGTTTATCGATCCTTTTTCATACATTTAAATGGCGTATCAATCGCGCAAAGCACGCCACGCCACTGGTTAAAAGAGCTTCCTGGCTGGGTGATAAATGATGAGAGGGGGGGGGGGCTCATTGTTAGATGTTTAGTCTGCCCCAATATTTATACGTAGAAGCCAAAATTATAATACACTCCACGGTGTAATCAAGCGTATTCCATCACACTTCAACTCTAATTTCCCTCATGATCGTTCGTTCGAAGAAGCGTTCGGCGAAAAGTTCATAAAAAATCGATCAATCGGAACGTGATGATTCAATTCATACAAACCGGTCGAATCACGCGTGAAATCAAGAAATTACTTCAACAGGCTCTGTAGATTACTTTCGCAAACAGCGACTCCTTGCGCCGAAAAAAATCGGCCCCCACGCCGGAAACTCGCAGTCAAAGAAGAATCCAATTTCGAGCCCTCGACTATCGCGACGTTTGCTCTCCGAATTAATTTCTTGATTTAATTTAATTCTTTGATTTAATTATAGCAAATATTTATACACCTCGTAAATTGGGAGCGGTGGGGATGGGACCTGGAAAAGCGGACTGCTAATGGAATCGAAATCCTATTTTCGGGTGATAAAATACTGCGCGCGTTTGCCACGTAGTGCGCGATCGATCGGGAGCGACACTTGCACTAATAATGCCTTTACCTCGTCGAGTTTAGAAGTTTTGTCGCGATTTGTATACCTTGAACAATTATTAAAAACATTACTACGTCACGTCGTATCCTGTAAAAATGGCCATAATCAATTGAGGAAACACTTTTGTGAAGAAACCCATTGCGAACCTCCATCGAAATCATGGAAAAGGAAAAATACCAGTCTAGTTAATCATCACTGTAGTTAAAAATAAATTAAAGTCAGAAGCGTGTATATTGCTAGGATGGCATGCACGTAGTAATCACTACTTCAAACGCCGCTATGAGGAAAAAATATGGCAAAATTTACCAGAAGTATGATTAATTCTATCGTGAGTCTTTTTGATTTCGGATATGGTGATACTGTAGGCTAAGGATAACTAGGCTTCTGGTAGCATTTACCAAGCTTTTGGTGAGTACAGTCAGAGTTACAGTACTTGCTATCATAGAATCATTAAGTGGTTAACATACTCATATCACCGTACCCCAAACCACATTTTTCCAGCGTGATTTTCGTGGGATATTTCTTTTGACTCTTATATTTAGTTGGCTGTATCTCTCGTGTGCAACAGAGCCATTAAGAAGCCTATTCTTGCGTCGGATCTGGTCGGATCGGGTGTGAATCCAATCCAGTAAAACCGTACTTTCTCGTGAACCTGATCCTCGTTCTCGAGGCTCACCAAACGGGTGGTTGGTGCTCACCGGGGTCATCTTCGGGATCCAACCAACACCTCGTGAAATACGGAGGACTTAGCAAGTCTGACGGGAACTTCTCTGATTGGTCCACCCTGATGGATGGGTCTGTCGCCCCACCCATGTCAGCAATTTCATCAGATTCAAGACAATCGGATCAGATTGACGCAAAATTCGTTTGACAACTCCTCGAGCAGTCCTTGATTTTAGATTTGAAAAACTAGTATGAGCCATGGGCAGTAGATTTGAAGCATAGTCTAGCAACCGTGCGCTTCGGGTCTGCACCCCAGCCTGCAGTGCGCGGTGGCGGGGCGGTGGGTAGCGGAAAAAAATTGAATCCGTTCTCCTGCGCGGAAGTCTTAAGTGGCAGATTCGGAAGCAAGTTCTGACGGGGAGAGGAAACGCAGGAAACGCAGGAGAGAAGACAGGAGGATCCCTCGCACGTGCGACTCTCGGTTTGAATATTGGATGCCCCCCCCCTCCGTCTCAGCCCCACCGCGCCACGAGCGGAAGAGCAAAAATCAAATTTGGAAAAAAAATTACCGAAAGGGACGTTGATTCACACGGATCAGAGTGGTATTAGTGTTTCCCGGATGAAGTAAAACGGACGAATCACTTTGGATCGGCTTTACCCAACTTCGACAGCTTTTCAGAGCTTTTCTTCAAGGGCACAGAGCAGAGAGAAAAATGTATTTCATTCGGGTAATACGGCAGGTTGAACACAAAGTGGTACAATCTTTCGGTTCATACTGAGCTTTTTTCATTGTTCTTTGGATCGTAATACCGTGTCCATGCAGATTTAAGTGGTCAAAACTTGTGTCGCCCAATGCCCCCACTTCCCGGAACTAGTACCGAATTCCGGAACTTTTGAGATTTCCCTGAATTTTTCCTGGAACTCTTGAAGTTCCCAAAATGTTCCGGATCTTTCGCATTTTCAGGAACTTTCTCGGAACTTCTGAAAAAATCTAAAAAGAATCCCGTACCTTTTGATGGTCAAGGTGCGGGAGAAATCGGAACAAAAAAGTTCCGAATCCCGGAACTTTGGCGTCATCAAATTTCGCCTGGCTCTCGGACTACTATCAACACACACTGGAAAAAAAAAACACACATTGGATCTAGAGTCCAGACTCTTAAAAACATCGACAAGAAAAAAATCTTGATTCAATCGGATTTTTGCTTAAATCAAGAACCAAGCCTCTGAATTTGAGCGGATTTCCTTTTGCTTTAAGCAAAAATCTGATCGAATCAAGAGTATTTTTTCTTGTCGATGTTTTGAAGAGTCTGGACTCTAGATCCAATGTGTTTTTTTCCCAGTGCATGATGTCTCTTTTTATGAACGACTTACGTCATACCAATTGCGATTAATTGTATTTAATTTTTTCTGTTGAACAGAGTAATCTAACGGGGCTACCGCGGCATGAGCACGTCCCGGGCGTGGGGAACGGGATCGCCAAGTGCCCTTACGACCCGACGGACAACTCGACGGCGACCTGGGTGGAGAGTGGGAACCCGGGCAACCTGCCCGGCCTCTACACGGGCACCAACGCCGAATTCACCAAGGCCGACACCGTCATTTTCCGCACGGAGCTCTTCAACTTCACCACCATGAAACGCGAGTTCTCCTACAAGCGAACCCTCAAATACGACTCCAAGTGGCTCGACAGTAAGTTATTGTATTTCTTTTACGCATGCCGGATCTGGAACCTATACTGCCGTTCTAGAGAAAAACGCCTTATGAAAATTAGAGAGTCGCCAAATTTCTCCCGATAAAACTTGTATTTTTAAGGAGATGTATGAAAATCTTCCGTCGAATTTTTCAGGAACTTCCAATGAAATTGCCAAAAAAATTGTCTAAAAAATTGGAGGATGAATATTCACAAGTTTTCTCGAAAATTCGTATTTTATCAAAAGAAATTTGGCAACGCCTGAAGGTTCATACAGCGTTTTCCCTTAGCATGGCAGTTTAGGTGAGGCAGCTCGCCTCATGTAAACACAATTTTTACACTTACACCATAATAAAGTATAAAAAACGTTGCAAATCCGAGAGTATCCCATACTCTACTTGGAAGGAACCAAACCGCATCAGTCATTGCTAAATTTAACTGGGCAATTTAATATTTTACATGGAAACGTTTGTGCGATTTTTTGTGCAAATTTCAGTGAATTTTCTGCATAGCACGAAGTTAATTCCTTAACATTTTCAAAAGAATCCGCAAAAACGTTGCTCAGTTAAATATGGCAGTAGCTGATGTGGCTTGCTTCCTTTCTGCTGAACGCGGTCCAATTCTATCGTCAAGGACCAGGACAGTTTCTACTTTTTCACCGATTTGATGAAGCAGGGGAGAACCACGCAGCAGCTCTATTGCCTGCTACTTGTTTTCCTAATTCATAAACCACGTATCTTGGAATACTATGATCAATTATTTTTTTTTTCTTACACTCGCAGATTTCTGACTAGTGTGTCAGAGAATGCAAGTAACTCAATTTCTCCAATATCGTTTCCTACGTTTCAGCCTGGTAAAAGGATGGTGACATGGGTTTTTACTTGAAATGAGAGATTGCCAAGTCTTAGAAAGACTAAGGGAGAATAAGGGATTGTGGCTGCTAGGTGTTGCAGAGCGCCAGAGAGCGATAAGAAGGCGGCTCTTATTTCCTTAACTACGGAATTTTTTTTAAAGAAATACGGCCTGAAATGTCTCAATTCCCTACTCAATGCAACTATTCCCGAAGCAAAAAAAATAAGATCTGCTTTCATCGTATTTATAGAGACAGCAACAGAGTGAAGTCTCATCTGCAGTTATTCCGTGGAAGATGAACCGCATAAAGAGAAACAGTTTTGATTGAACAAAAAAAGAATCGGCGGAGCCCAGAAAATAATCTGGAAGAAAAAACTTAGTGAATTGAAGCAAATGAGGCGCGTATTTTGACCCACTTCTTAAGTTTTTCTTCCTCGTAGTGCCTCAGAAACTTTTCACTTCCCTCCGGAACAAACGCCGAGAAATTATTTCTTGCCGCACGTCTTAGGTACATTCTCGAGAAGACGGCTCTTTAAATCGCGGGCAAATGCATCTGGTTATCCGTCAGAGAGCTTGAGCTTGTTTTCACACCGAACAAGTGGCTGATGTTAAGTTGAAAAAATTGAAATAGCTGGTTGCTCTCAGAAAGCTTCTAGTGCCAGAAAAATTCATCGGACATCCTGATAGAGTCGAAATTTTCGTATGTGTGTACTACCTAGCAACTGAAATCCCAAATCTCTCCTTTCATTATCTCATTCTCACTCCCCGGCAAAAATTGGGAATCGTTTTCAAGCATTGTGATATATTTTTATGACAACTTTTGTGCTTGAGAGGTGGTGGGGAAAAAAATTTCTTGAGGAAGTTAAGTGCCAGAAAAATTTGTTTCCCTGTCAAAGTTGCCCCAAAAAGTAGATTCTAGCCAAAAATTCGTAGGAATGAAGTTGCTCTCACTTAGATCCTTAGGAGAAGACAATACTGTTCATCCATTAATGCATCAGAGCCATCGATACCTCAAAATAGGTTAACCTTTGTGCATCTAACAAGGTGCTGGTGAAATAGTGCTGGATCCACGCTATTTTTCGGGGAAAACAAGACCCAAGAGTTTCAAAATGTTGAGCTCTAGTAAGAACCAGTACAAAATTGAGGGTATATACTCTCACCAGACCTCACATTTTTTACTCTAATTAAAATTTGTGGAAGTTTTTTGGCCTTGCTTTCCCCGCAAAACTGTGAATGGACACCGCACTATTTTACCACCTTGTTAAATTCAGTTCGGGCCACTTTTCTGGAGTTTTTCTCTTCTTCCTCGGTGTATTTTGTACTTATTTCTAGAAAAATTTCGGGGAGTTGCTCTCTGCTCATGCTTCATCCTTCTTGCAGATTCATTCTCTGCTTTCTTTTCCTCGCCGTCTTTTCCGCTATTTTGTGAAGGAGACTCCAGCATGGAGCGAGCCAAGAGCTCCGAAGGACCGGAATAAAAGGAAAGTTCTGTAAAATATGTCCTCAGCCTCAGAGCAAGGGAAGAAATATGAGACTGGGGCGGGAGAGAAATAGCACGACGAGAAGGAGAGGGGTGGGGGTGGCTCGGGTTTATCATTTAAATGCGAATAAACAAAAGATTGAAGCAAGTGTTGGGAAAGAGGAAAGTAAACGGATTATTTCCTCGGAAGGATATTATTGTTAGATAATCTTCTCGCGAGATATGCGGAATAGTTCAAGGCTCATTGTTTCCAAGAGTGAATGCGATTTAAAAAAGTAAATTAATGAAATTGAAATAAGTGTGCATTTCGTCTGTTCTTAAACTTTGATCCTCTTCGCCCTCCCCCTTTGTCGCTTTCTCTCTCTCGCGCCTTCCTCCCATCACACCACCGTTTTTTTTTTTTATTTTATTTCTCAGAGCCCTATTATCGTCCTCCAGTTTTTCTTTCCAGCCATTTTAAAAGATTCGTTTCGAATTTTTGAACGTTGTTTATTTTAGTATTCAAAACTTGCTTTAAAATCACATTAGGTCTCAATTTCTTCTCCTCTTTAGGGGTATCCGTCGTTTTATTCGGTGTCTAAATATTGTCTATTGCTCTTGTATTTACCGTACATTTTTGTCGCATGCGTTGGAAAAGAATTGTGGTACTGGGCGTATTTTTTTTAGCCCTCCAAAGTCCAAGCCGAGTCAAATTGACCCGAGGCTTGCTTTAAACACGAGCTCCGCAAATGATATGCGGGCGTTGCTTATGAGGTTTAGATATAGATCCACAAGTACATCGTTGAAAAGAATCGGACATCAAATTGGAAAAAAAAAAGAATACATCGAGTATCGACACAGCCAAAGGCAGGAGAGACGTATTCGGGCCTCGTTTTTTTTTTTCAACTTTTCTCCCGAATCTGAGCGACATCTCGTTGGCAGCGTAGAGCGGAGTATAATTGCGGGTTCACGTCTCGCGCCATCGCGCCTTCAAATGTGCAGACGCAACACGGACATCCGCCAAGCACGAATAGTTGTATCTCTGCGCCGTCGTCAACGCTTGTCCTTTTCCTTGCTCATTTACACATCGTGTTTGTGTTGACGCATATCTGGCGTGATTCCTTAGGAGAGTCTCAATGCTGTTCAACAATTATTTCAATTAGGAAGTGTCGGAATTTTTTTATGAAAAATTAGAGTTAAGAGCCTGAATTAATTTATGGATGGCCGTTCAAAAAAAGATGGAAATTATTTTCGTGTCACCTTGTAGATTTTCAGAATTACGGGTTTATGTTAGATGCATGTAAATGAGTATGCTCGTAGCAAGTGCATGTTTCCACAAACTTCCGCGTGCGGATAAGTCCCGTTGCGTAGGGTTCAGGAACCAGCCTTGCAGTCTTGAGACACGCCACTAAAAATGGCTGCGGTTTTCGCGGGGGCCCCAAGACAAGGAACCGTGCGATAATATTAATGCTCGGGGTTTCTGCCCGGGAATTTCGCGGAATTGATAAATCGAGGAGGGTGGCATGCGCCCCCGGACGAACCCCCCCCCCCCCCCNAATTCCAGCGGATCCGACGCCGAAATTCGCCAAGATGCACGACAGACGCCTCCTTGATTTTATATATTCCCGAGGGTCATTCTTCTCCTCATTTCCCTTAGGTCGCAGACCCCCGACCCCCGTCGCTGCATCTTCGCCCCTCATATTAGTCCCGGGTTTCTATTTTCTTGACTTTGAAAAAAGTCTCCCTCCCAGGGAGATCCATCCCCAAGAAGGGGCCGTTGTTCGAATGCGAAATGCCTCCCTGATGTGTTGCATCGAGGGGAGCCCTGAAAAGGAAGAGCATCTTGTAACTTGTTCCCCACGAACCCGGCGATACTGGGTTTTAAACGCGTTTCAATCTACTCTATTTCATCCCCATCCAGGTTATATCTCCTTATTTAAATTGAGCTCTGTGGGCATTGATTCATTTTGAATGCGAATCTCTCTGTGGTCTGAATCAACGGTCGGTTAAGTAAGCGGAGACAAGAAACTTTTCTCTCCAAATTTTTTGTATAAGTATAGTTGTTTTGATCTGCAATAAATTCACAGGGAGCATCGATTTTGTGAGTGATGAAATGGAAAATTCTTTGACTTTCTAACCGGAGTATTTGTGGGCACCAATACTCCGATCTACTCGTAGTAATAATCTTGGATCTCTTAACTAAGATTTATAATCCGTTGGTCAATTTTAGTGCCCAAGTGTTCAAGGCCAAGAAAATCCTGACTTTTGAAAGTATCCTAAGGACGATTTTCCCGTATCCCCCCCACCCCACACATACGCAGTATACCGCCTATTGATATCGTTTTTTTTTCAACCCATAAATGTATGAAGTGTTCAAAGCGCTCGCCAGAAATTGTATCGCGAGCTATGTCAAAACCGTTATATAAAGTGTGCGGTTTGATTTACGTAGATGGTTTTTCTTTTGAGCGGGATTTTCAATTTTTTTTAAATCTTAGTCGAGAGGTCATTTCAGCAATTTTTGTTGCGAGCATTGTGTTCTACATAAAATTCTGAAGTGGAAAATATGCGTCATATAGTGGTTTGAAAGACAGGACGAATCTGGAAAAGTCAAGAGCAGTCAGCAACACTGGGTTCCTCCTTTTAAATCAATCAAACATATCGATTTTATAAAGAATCTATCTTCTCGAG